GTATACATGTGGTAAATATGTAGTACTTACCAACAAGTGTGAGTAATAACGGTCACTAACTGGTAGTGTCAGTATATGGTAACTAATCAGACACATTACTATACTTACTAATGGTCTATACATGGTAAAGTTCAACAAAGTTTGAAGAACTGGTCATTCCTGTTTAATGTTTATGTAAAATGGTGCACTTTATTTTACAGTCCTATTTCCATATACTTCCATGTGTTCATAAATGATTAATAAGTGATTTGTTAATATTTGTATCTATGTTTGGTAACACTTTATTTTGATGGTCCCTTTTGAACATTCTGTTGACAATAAATAACGTTGCACGTACATGTCTACTAACTCACATTAGAGTATTAGTAGACTTTTTGCTTAATATCTGCTAACTCTTTATTGTGATGGTCTCCCAACAGACATTCTACTGACTATAAGTAACTTTGCAAGTACATGTCAACTTATTCTAACCCTAACCCTATCAGTCTACTAATACTCTACTAACACTCAATTGAGAGTTAGTAGACATGTAGGTGCAACGTTACCTATAGTCAACAGAATGTGTTAAAGGGACCATCAAAATAAAGTGAAACCCTATGTTTTGTAGATTGAGTTATAAATCATTTGCAAGTGGTTAGATGATGATTAACTAATCATTTACAAAACATGACTATACGTTCACAAATGATTAAGTAATATGCTAATAATTTACCAATCTGTCAGGTTATCTTAAAAAATAGCATATCATGAAATAATCAAACATATCCTTAGTAAAGGGTTAATAAGTTACTAGTTAATATATTATTAATCACTTATAAATCATTGAAATGTAAACATTGTACTATTATCTCACAGCATTAAAAATATTCCATGTGTGTCAGAGAAGACTTCTGTCTACACCCTCACCAGTCAGCCCTTACATTGCAGTACACACTACAAAGTATATCTTGAATAAATCATTTACAAAGCTTTCTGCATCCCCTAATCTAAAGTGTAAACTACTCATCAGTTGTAAATGTTTTACTCATCATTCATAGATCTTTCACCCTAGTGTGTACACACACACAACCTGTAACCAGCAGGTTTGTAAAACATTTACAACTGATGAGTAGTTTACACTTTAGAATAGAGGATGCAGCAAGCTTTGTAAATTATTTGTTCATGCGTTTACACAACAGGTTTTGAATACTTTGTAGTGTGTACTGCAATGTAAGGGCTAACCTACTCATCATTTGTAAATGTTTTACTCATCATTCGTAGATCTTTCACCCCATTGTGTACACACACACAACCTGTAACCGGCAGGTTTGTAAAACATTTACAACTGATGAGTAGTTTACACTTTAGAATAGAGGATGCAGCAAGCTTTGTAAATTATTTGTTCATGCGTTTACACAACAGGTTTTGAATACTGTAGTGTGTACTGCAATGTAAGGGCTGACTAGCGAGGGCGTAGACAGATGTCTTCTCTGACACACATGGAGTATTTTTAATGCTGTGTGATAATAGTACAATGTTGACATTTCAATGATTTATAAGTGATTAATAATATATTAACTAGTAACTATACTGAAAACAATGATTCATTGAATTTACAAAATTTTTTTTTAGATAAGTGGTTGCAATCAATTTATTTTAGCTACATTTAAATAAACAAATTTAGTTGACTAACTTTCAACATTTTTTTTATTTAAATGTAGCTAAAATATAGTGTTTGTAACCACTTACCTTAAAAAATGTAGTATCATTTTTTTCAGTGTATTAACCTTTTACTAAGGATCTGTTTGATTATTTCATGATGCTATTTTTTAAGATAACTTATGAGTTTTGTAAATCGTTAGCATATTAGTTAATAATCATTTGTGAATGTATAGTCATGTTTTGTAAATTATTAGTTAATCATCATCTAATCACTTGTAAATTATTTATAACTTAATCTACAAAACATAGATAAAATATTAACATATCACT